AAAATGGCGTCGAGGACAGCCAAGATCGCCCCAGGAGAGCGTCTGGAGGCCTTCAAAATCGAGTCAGTGAGCTCCCGGAGAGGCCTCTGAGAGAGGCCGGCGGCGCTTAGAAAACGAACGTTGACAACGAGGTGTGTTCTGAAGCGAAAAATATGGCCAAAGAGCGCTCATTCCGCAGCTGCGGCCCCCGGGCCGGCGGAATGAGCAGGCCGCGGGGAGGACCCCAGGAGGGGTTGCAAAGGCTCTGAGAAATGGGTATTGGTACGAGGAGTTCGTGCGCGCGCAGATTGAGGGGACTGAGTTCGTGCAGACCATGCGGCGGGGATCTCGCGCGCCGTTCCCGGTGGGGCGGCGGATCGCTTCGCTCATTCCGCCGGCCCGTGGGGGCCTCTTGGGGGCCTCTTAGGGCCTCTAAGAGGCTCACTGGGGGCCTCTTAGAGCCTCTTGGGGGCTTCTTGGGGGCGTCTCGGGGGCCTCCTGAGGGCTCTTCGGGGCCTCTTGGGGCTTCTTAAGGCCTCTTGGGGCGTCCTGGGGGCCTCTCGGGACCGAGGGCATGAAATGTTGTTTCGTGCTCCCCCTTCTGGGGCCGCTCTTAGGGCGCTCTAGGGGCCGCTCTTAGGGCGCTCTAGGGGCCCTCTTGGGCCGTCTTGGAGGCCTCTTGGGCCGTCTTGGGGCCCTCTTGGGGGCCTCTTGGGCCTTCTTGGGGCGATCTTGGGGGCCTCTTGGGCCGTCATGGGGCGTCGGGAAGCCAAAAAGGTGGAAACACCAATGTCTCGAGCGAAACGCTTGTTTAGTGTTATCTATTGTTCCTCTCCTGGGGACCAGAATTCAGAGGATGTCTCAGGTGAAATGCTTGCTTTCACGTGCCCAGATTTTGAGGATCTCTCTAGCGAAACGCTTGGTTTCACGCCTCCAGGTTGCCCAGGGAGAGGTCTAGCACCAGGATTTGTTGAGGATGTCTCGAGCGAGACGTTTGTTTTCACGCGTTCAGGCCGTCCAGGCAGATGTCTAGTATGAGCATGAGCATGCGCGAACGCTTGTTTTCGCGTGGCACGTGCCGCGGTGCGAACCCCATGGCACGCCCCCTGGCAAGTCGCCTGGTGCGTCCCTTGAGACAATCCGCGGCGCGTCCCCCTGGCATGCCCCCTTGTCAATTTGCTCTGGGGCAGCTATCTGTGCTCAGGCATTTCGAGCTTAAGATCCAGATCTGTTCGGTCAGGACTCGGGTGCAAAGGAGGACTCGGCGCGGCGCAGCACGGCGCATCGCAATTCAGCACGGCGCAGCACAGCACAGCCCTCGGCACGGCACATCAAGATCGACCTCAGCGTTGCAACCTGGCACGTTCCCTGGCAAGTTCCGTGCCGCGTCCTGTGGCGAGTTCCCCTGGCACGTCTCGCGGCGCGCCCCCTGGCACGCCCCGTGGCACGTCCAGCGGCACGTTCTGTAGCGCGTCCCCTGGGCACGTCCCGCGGTGCGTCCCCATGGCACGTCCCTTGGCATGTCGCTTGGCGCGTCCCTTGGGACATTCCGCGGCGCGTCCTCCTGGCATGTCCCCCTTGTCAAATTGCTCTGGGGCAGCTAATCTGTGCTCAAGCATTTCGAGCTTAAGATCCAGATCTGTTCGGTCAGGACTCGGGTGCAAAGGAGGACTCGGCACGGCGCAGCATGGCGCATCGCAATTCAGCACGGCGCAGCACAGCACAGCCCTCGGCACGGCACATCAAGATCGATCTCAGCGTTGCAACCTGGCACGTTCCCTGGCAAGTTCCGTGCCGCGTCCTGTGGCGAGTTCCCCTGGCACGTCTCGCGGCGCGCCCCATGGCACGCCCCGTGGCACGTCCAGCGGCACGTTCTGTAGCGCGTCCCCTGGGCACGTCCCGCGGTGCGTCCCCATGGCACGTCCTTTGGCACGTCGCTTGGCGCGTCCCTTGGGACATTCCGCGGCGCGTCCTCCTGGCATGCCCCCCTGTCAACAAGCTCTGGGGCAGCTACTTTGTGCTCAGGCATGTCGAGCTTAAGGTCCAGATCAGTTCGGCCAGGACTCGGATGAACAACGCTATAAAGCACAATCGCGGTATGGCATGTCGCAATTCAGCATAGCATCCTGTCACGTTCGTTTCCTGGCACGTTTCGTGCCGCGTCCTTTGGCGAGTCCCCCTGGCACGTCGCGCCGCGCGTCCCCTGGCACGTCTCGTGACACGTCCATTGGCACGTTCCGTAGCGCGTCCCCTTGAAGGCACGTCCCGCGGTGCGTCCCCGTGGCACGTCCCCTGGCACGTCCCCTGGCGCGTCGTTTCGGACATTCCTCGGCGCGCCCTCGCGGCATGTCCCATGTCAATTAGCTTTGGGGCAGCTACGATGTGCTCAGGCAGCTCGATCTTGAGATAGCTTCGGACCAGACATCGTCGTGTGGGGGCTTCCAAGAATTGAGTCTTTGTGGGGTGGGGGTGCCAAGTCGTGGTTGGGGGCGTGGTGGGGGCGCGGTGGGGGATGTTGGTCGGTTTCGAGCCAAAACTTTTGATGTGGGGGGTCCCTAGGACGGAGCTCTCGTAGGGTGGGGGTGCTAGGACGTGGTGGGGGCGTGGTGCGGGCGCGGGGGGGTGGGTGGTAGATTTCGGGCCACACATTCTCGGTGGGAGGGGCCCAGAGGTGGAAATGCCGGGCCAGATCGACGGGGAAGATGGGCGGCGGGGCGCGAAAATGGCTCGGTGGGGGGCCCAAGAAGGTCCAGAAAGAGAAGATGATGGGGCCAGGCCGAAAAGGGAAAGAGGCGGCGGGGCGCGGGTGGGAGGTCCGAGGGCAGGTTGGGGACTACCCAAATCAGAGGTTCCAGGCTGGGGAACTGAAGGGGCACGGTGGGGGGTGTAGGAGAGAGTTCCACATGGACACATGGAATATCAGGGTCGATGCATGGTTCTGTTGAGTGCACAAAAGGATACCTCACACGCCTCTGGGGTCGGCGGATTTGTTTGTATTCCGTGGCGACAGCGGGCATTGCCCTTTTTTTGTTTTTTTTTTTTTTTTATGTTTTTTTTTTTTTTTTTTCTTACTTTTTTTTTTTTTTTTTATTTTTTTTCTTCTTATTTTGTTTTTTTTTTTTTTTTTCTTCTTTTCGAGTTAATTTTTTTTTTTTTTTTTTTTCTTTTTTTTTTTTTTTCTGCTTTTCTTTATATCTTTTTTTTTTTTTTCTTCTTTCTTTAGTCTCTGTTGGATGATTTTAGCGCGTTTTTCTTTTCAGTCTTTTTTTTTTTTTTATATTTTTTTTCTTCTTTTTAGCTTTGGGTAGGGCGGGGAGTGCAGGGGGCCAGCAGCAACGTCACGATTCGCTCCGGCGCCGTCAAGGAATGTGTGGGAATGGCTAACTTTTCACGCTTTCACGCGGCCCCCCAGTGGCCGCCCTGGCCTCGTGCCCAATACCCCCTGGCGCGCGCCCATCAGGGGCTGTCGGCCCGCACCCGGCCTCCCAGGACGCCCTTGTCTGTGGGTATCTTGTGGCCCCCCGCCCCCTGGCGCCGGGCGGCCCCAGCCTTAGGCGGCCGTCTGCAACCTCCTCGGCGCTCCCCCCCTGTCTCCTGCTGCGAGACCGCCGGAGCGCCCGGTGCGTCTCACCGCGGCGTCTGCTCCCCGCGGCGCCCGCCCGGCAGCCTTCCCCGCTCAAGGCGCCGCTCGGGCCTCTCCTTTGCCGCACGACGGTCGCGGGCCCCTCCCTCGGGTCCCCGTCTGCCCTCTGCTGCCCCCCGCCCGGGCCTGCCAGGCCCCGCCTGCGAGGCCGCAGGGAAACCCCCTCGGCCCAGGGCGCTGATCTCCTGGCTTCCCCCTCCGCGGGGTTCTCTCCCCGGCGGTTCTCAATCGGCTTCCGCCCTCGTCGCTCCTCGTCTGCCACCGGCACTTCGTGCCGCGCTTTCTCTTCACCGAGACCTGCGACCGTTAGTCGCCTTCCCCTCGCGCCCCCGCAACTCGGAGCTCTGAGACGCCGCGCTCGAGGTGGTCAGGCCCGTTTCGCCTGAGACTTCTTCGCAGCACGTTTCGCCCGAGACATCGTCGCAACTCTGGGGTCCGAGATGCCGCGCGCGAGGTGGTCCAGCCCGTTACGCTGGCGACATCCTCGCAAATCTGGGCTCCGAGACGCCGTTCGGGATGAAGAGGAGGTGGAGGAGGGAGGAGGAGGAGGAGGAGGAGGAGGAGGAGGAGGAGGAGGAGGAGGAGGAGGAGGAGGAGGAGGCATGTTCTAACATGCCATGCCAACCCGCAATGGACGGGCACGTCATTGACCTTGGAAACCGCAGTGGGTTTAAAACCCTTGTTTGGGGATGCTGCACTCCAGGTATAATGTTTGAAAGGATCGAGACGGCCCCCAACGAGCCCCAAACGAGGCCCAATATGACCCCAATAGCGCCCTCGCGATTCATCACACTTAGAATTTCGCTTGAGACATCCTCAGAAACATGGGTTGTTCGTAACACCGTCTTTCAAAACAACACGCATTTCGCCCGAGACATCCACCAGAACATGAAAACCGCGAATGTAACAAACGTATGGCAATGAGACATCCTCGACAACACGAGATGCTGAAAAGGCTGATTGAAGATCATGCGTGTTAAAACTAAGCTTTTCGCCTTAGACATCTTCAGAACATGGGCAGGTTCACGGCAGCCCATCACGCAGAACACACACAGGAGCACGGCAGAACACAGAAGCACGGCAGAGCACATAACCACATGAGGAGCACGGCAGAAAACACATAATACGCAGGAGCACAGCAAAACACACAGGAGCACTGCAGAACATGCAGAAGCGTGCCAGAACACGCAGAACAAGTAGGAGCACGGTAGCAAGAGCACGGCAGAACACGCAGGAGCACGGCAGAACACACAGGAGCGCGTCTGAACACACAGGAGCTCTTTTTCCGTAGCCATTTTGGGTCAAGGCCATGGAGAACCCGACGACCGCGAGTCGTTCGCGGCGCTCTGAGCGCGATGGTCTCCGCGCTTTGGGCCAGTGCACTTCGAGTTTGTGTTTCCTGCGTTCGCGGCGCGGAGGCGCGGCCCCTCGGCCAGCTCTGCAGTGGCCATGGCGAGGTCCCCACGCGGCGGCGGCAGCAGCAGGCGCGGCAAGTCCTACTGGATGTGCAGCTGCGGAGGATGGAACTGGGACTGGTGCGGCTCGTGCCCTGGCTTTGGGCATGCGGCTCCGCCCTGGGCGCTGGGAATGTCCCCCGCCAAAGCGAGGCCCAAGGCAGACAAGGACGGATGGTTGGATCAGCCGCGTGGGCGCCGTGCCCAGAGGCAGGCCCGCAGCGCGGCCTCGCGGGGAGCCTCCGCCAAGTCGCAGACCTCGGCGTCGGCAGCGAGTGGGGCGCCCAGCGGTGGAGGCGCCACGGCGATCGAGAGGCTCCAGGCAGCAGCCGAGCAGCTCGAGGCGCTGCAGGCCGAGCCGCCTGACGGCGTGGACGGCTGCTTCACCGACGTCGTGGCTAGTCAGCTGGAGGCGAAGCGCGCCGAGCTGGTCAGGGCCCAGAAGGCGGCAGTAGAGCAGAAGGCCTCCTCCCTGCCACGGGCGGTGCAGCTCCACAGGGAGGCGAACGCCATCAGCAAGGGTGAGAAGCGGCTCCGCGCAGCCCGCCAGGGGTTCGAGCAGAAGCAGGCGGCGCGTAGCCTCGTCGAGGCCCAGCTCCACAAGGCGCAGGGGGAGCTCGCCGAGCTCGACGCGGAGGTTGAGGAGGCGAGCCGTGCGCTCCAGGCGCTCGAGGAGGCAGCCCGCGAGGAGGCCGAGGCGCTGCGCCGCCAGCGCACTGCCGAGTGGGCAGGAGCCAGCCAGGTGCCAGGGCTCCCCATGCAGCTGGAGAAGTTGCCCGAGGCCTGGGGCTCCAGCAACTTCGGGGTGGCCTGGGCAGCCATCCGCGCCCAGGTGGAGGCGGGGCGGGCGCAGCTCGCGGGGGGCCCTGTGGCCCCCAAGCGCGCGCCGTGGGCTGAGTCCTGCCCCGTGGAGGTGATCAGCAGCGACGATGGCGATCTCGCAGGTAGCGGTAGCTCTTGGCAGCCACAGCCAGCCGCCGAGCGGGGCCAAGCCGAGCGGCGTGGCAAGGCGCATGGCGAGTGGCCGACGGTGGCCCAGGCATGCCAGCGGGAGCTGGCTGCCGAGGCAGCGGACCTGGCTCCTCTGGCTGCTCGCCATGCTGGCCGCGCCGCGGGGGGCCGCGTCGGAGGAGCGCAGCCAGGGCCAACGAGTGCCTTGTGAGACCAGCGCGGCGGGCCTGCACTGGCGCGAGTGCGGCCACGCCGAGGGCGCCTTGGTGGACTCCCACGGCATCGACGTCGGCGACCCGCCCAGGTACCTGGGGCACGCCGTTGGGCCCGGCATCGTCCTCATGCCCCAGGGCGCGGAGGAGAACGGGGTTCGGGCCCACGTGCTCGGCACTAGCGAGCAGAGCGACCCCATTGGCCAAGCAGGCGCACCTGGGCACTCCGAGGCGATGGCAACGAGGGCGGACCTGCAGCAGCCAGCCGAGCTGCCACTCAGGGAACACGCTCGGAGTCTGGAGGCGGCAGCAGCCAGGAGCGCCAGGGCCGCCACTGTGGTGCGCTGTGCCTCGCCCGCCGCCGCGGTGGTGCGGTCCCTGGGGCGGTTCGGCAGGTGCTTCGAGCCGGAGCGGAGCATGGTCGTGGACCTCGGCGACGTGTTCGATCCCATAGTCCTCGGGCCTCGGGCGATGAGCTTTAAGGCAAGCTCGGTTGCTCTGCAGGCCTCCAACCGCCATGAGAGGCAGAAGCTCAGCTGCGACCCCCTCTGGCTGCGGCTGTGGCTCGGGGGCGCCATCGAACAACTGCTCGGGCCAGGAATCGAGCGGCGCGTGAAGGGGCAGCATGCGCGAGGGGTCCACATCTCCAACGCACGCTGGACGATGAGGGCCTCTGGAGGCTTCGGCAGCCAGTCGATGGCAGGCTCAACGGCAAGTTGTACCTCGACGGCTCGGCCAAGAGTAGCGAAAGGCCCCCTCCTGCTGGCGAGCGCCGCCAGGTGCTGACCGCTGCGGCTGCGGGGCCTCCTCTGGCTGGAGAGACCCTCGGCGGCGGCGCCCCTGCTAAGAGGCCACGCCTGGAGAGCAGCCGCTCGACGGAGCAGTGCGGCAGCCCTCTCGGCCACCGCTGTCGCCTTCAGCATCCTGGGGCACGCGCTTAGCTACGCCTTCGCGGGTGATGTCGAGGACGCCCAGGAGATCGTGGCCTGCTCCAAGTGCGGCGCCTACAAGGTGCTGGGCAGCCACGCGGGAGGCACGTCTCGCCTGAAGGTGCAGTGCCCAGGGCCCAGCTACCTGACCAACAAGTCAGGCAGGAACCAGCGCAGCCTGCGGGAGCGAGGGGTCCATCCTGGAGGCAGGCCGCGAGCGGACAAGCAAAGAGTGAAGGGAGAGGGCACCCCTGCTTTGCGCTCGCAAGGGCCGGTGCCAGGGCACGCCCAGGAGCGCTGCCTGGAATGGCTCGGCATGGAAGCGGAGCCTGCAGGCGAGGCCTCAGCTGCGGCCAGCAGCGCTGGCAGCGGCCCAGCGGCCCCTGCGGCGGCGCTGGCGGAGGAGGCTGCGGCTGCCAGCCTGCCCCAGCAGCGTCCAGGCCCGACGTGCGCTGGCCACCTCGGCGCGAACGAGGCCACCGAGGAGGCGAGCGCTGCAGCGGGCGCAGCGGCGAGCGACGGCCAGATGAGCCGCAGGGTCCGCCGCCGTCTGGCGCGCCGCGGCCTGGTGTCGGAGAGTGAGTGAAGGCTGTGCCTTGAAGGCCCCGTCTTTAACTATAACTTTAACTATAACACGCAGGAGCTCGGCACAGCACGCGTGAGCACGGCAGAACACGCAGGCGCACAGCAGAACACACAGGAGCGGCACACAAGGAGCACGGTAGAACACACAGACACCACAGGAGCACGGCAGAGCACAGAAGAGCATGAGGAGCACGGCAGAGCACACATAATGCACAGGAGCATGGCAGAAGACGCAGGAGCACGGCAGAACATGCAAAACACAAAGGAGCACGGCACACCAAGCAGGAGCACGGCAGAACACACAGGAGCACGGCAGAGCCAGCGCGGGGGTGGCCATGGCGGCGAGGTCCCCGCGCGGCGGCGGCAGCAGCAGGCGCGGCAAGTCCTACTGGATGTGCAGCTGCGGCGGATGGAACTGGGATTGGCGCACCTCGTGCTTGGGATGCGGGCATGCGGCCCCGCCCTGGGCTTTGGGGGCGCCCCCAGCCAAGGCGAGGCCCAAGGCGGACAAGGACGGCTGGGTTGACCAGCCACGTGGGCGCCGTGCCCAGAGGCAGGCCCGCGGCGCGGCCTCGCGGGCAGCCTCCACCAAGTCGCAGACCTCGGCGTCCGCGGCGAGTGGGACGCCCAGCGGTGGAGGCGCCACGGCGATCGAGAGGCTCCAGGCGACAGTCGAGCAGCTCGAGGCGCTGCAGGCCGAGCCCCCTGACGGAGTGGACGGCTGCTTCACCGACGTCGTGGCCAGGCAACTGGAGGCGAAGCGTGCCGAGCTGGTCAAGGCCCAGAAGGCAGCAGCGGAGCAGAAGGCCTCGTCCATGCCGCAGGCGACGCGTCTCCGCATGGAGGCGAACGCCATCAGCAAGGGGGAGAGGCGGCTCCGAGCAGCCCGCCTGGAGCTCGAGCAGAAGCAGGAGGCGCGCGACCTCGTCGAGGCCCAGCTCCAGAAGGCCCAGGAGGAGCTCGCGGAGCTCGACGCGGAGGTGGAGGAGGCGTGTTGTGCGCTCCAGACGCTCGAGGTGGCAGTCCGCGAGGAGGCTGAGGCGCTGCGCCGCCAGCGCGCGGCCGAGTGGGCAGGTGCCAGCCAGGTGCCAGGGCTCCTCCTGCAGCTGGAAAAGTTACCTGAGGCGTGGAGCTCCAGCAACTTCGAGGCGGCCTGGGCAGCCATTCAGGCCCAGATGGAGGCAGTGCGGGCGCAGCTTGAGGGAGGCCCCGCAGCCCCCAGGCGTGCGCCGTTGGCAGAATCCTGCCCCATGGAGGAGACCAGCAGCGACGATGGCGATCTCGCCGATGGCAGCAGCCCCTGGCAGCCCCAGCCAGTCGCAGGGCGAGGCCAAGCAGAGCGGCGCGCCAAGGCGCTGGGCGAGTGGCCGACGGTGACCCAGGCATGCAAGCGGGAGCTGGCAGCAGAGGCAGCGGACCTGGCTCCCTTGGCTTCTCTTCTCTCTGGCAGGTCCGCTGGGGGCCAGGTCGGAGGGGAGCTGCCAGGGCCAGCGAGGGCCTGGTGCAGCCGGTGCGGCAGGCCTGCGCCTGCACGAGAGCGGCGCCGAGGGAGTCGAGAGCGACCCGCTAGGCCTCCGCAGCATGGGCGTCCGCGACTCGCCCAGGGGCCAAGAGAGTGCTGCAGGGCCCAGCGGTGACCTCTTCCTCCTGAACGCCGAGGTGAACGTGTTTGGGGCCATGGAGTTCGGCACTAGCGACTGGGGCGACCTCAGTGACCAAGCTGGTCTACATGGCGACCCTGAAGCAACTTCAGTGCTGCAGCGGCGCCTCGCGAATTCCCAGATGCAGGATGGGGGCATGAGCTCAGCCTCCTGGGGAGCATGGGCCAAGCTGGCCAGGCAGAAGGGCGGCAGGCTCGCCCACAGTTGTACGAAGGCGGGGCCGCCCCTGCCAGTGGGGTACTCAGAGGCCAGCAGGCCTGTGGCAGGCATGATTGCAGTCGGAATGCAGGAGGCCGACGGGCAGGCCCCCTTGCAGCAGGATGGCATCAGGTCTGGAGCTGGAGTCGGCAGCTGGGACGTCCGATGCTCGACGTTGCAGCTCCTCAGCCTGAAGGTGCTACAGGCCGCCGACAGCGGGCCTGGAAGCTGGCCTGCCTCCCACGCGGAGGCTGCTGCTTTCCCCCTCGGCCCCGCAGTCGCGCGGCCTGGCCCTCTTGGAGGCGCGCGAGGAGCAGCCCCAGGCCCTCGAGGCCGCAGCAGGTGAGCGCCGTGCCTCGCCTGTCTACGCAGTGGCGCGGACCCTGGGGATCGGCGACTGGCACCTGGACCTCGGAGACGCGTTCAACCCCAGGTTCCTTGAGCTGCGGGCGATGGGCGCGGGAGCAAGCACGCCCGCTCAGCAGCAGGCCTGCAGCCGCCATGTGAGGCGGGTCCCCTTCTGCAGGCCCCATTTGCTTCGGCAGTGGCTCGGAGACGCCATCGGGCTGGTGCTCAAGCCAGGAGTCGGGTGGTGCTTGTGCGCGCGGCGTGCACGCGGAGGAGGAGCAGGCGGATTCGACAGCGAGCAGCTCATCAATGGCTCAGACTGGATCAGCGGAGGGCGCCCACCTGCTGGCGAGATCGGCCAGGCGCAGTCTGTGGCAGCGTCGGTGCCCCAGCGGGCTGATGAGGCCCCAGGCTGCGGCGCTCCTGCCATGCGGCCCCGCCTGGAGGACAGCCGCTCGGCTGGGAGCAGTGCGGCCGCCCTCTCGGCCACCGCGTTAGCCTTCAGCGTCCTGGGGCACGTGCCCAGCTACGCCTGCGCGGGCGAAGGCGAGGGCGCCCAGGAGATCGTGGCGTGCACCAAGTGTGGCGCCTACAAGGTACTGGGCGGCCGCGCAGGAGGTAAGTCGCGCCTGAAGGCGCAGTGCCCAGGGCCCAGCTACCTGACCAACAAGTCGGGCAGGAACCAGCGCAGCCTGTGGGAGCGTGGGCTACACCCTGGTGGCAGACCTCGAGCGGATAAGCAGAGGGTTAGAGCAGAGGGGCTCTGCGTTTGCAAGGGCCAGTGCCAGGAAACGCCCAGGAGCGCTACCTGGAGTGGATAGGCATGGAGGCGGAGCCCGCGGGCGGAGCCTCGGCCGCGGCCAGCAGTTCGGGCAGCGGCCCAGCGGCGCCCGCGGCTGCGCAGGAAGTGGAGGCAGCGGCAGCCAGCCAGACCCAGCAGCAGCCAGGGTCGAGCGCGGGCGCCCTTGGAGCTGGCGAGGCAGCCGGGGAGGTGCTCGCAGCCACGGGAGCCGCAGCCAGCGGCGGCCTGGCGAGCCGCAGGGTCCGCCGCCGCCTGGCGCGCCGTGGCTCGGAAAACATAGAGTTCTACTTGGAGGGGCTCAGCGGCGAGGGGGAGCCTGCAGGCAGAGCCTCAATCGCGGCCAGCAGCTCGGGCAGCGGCCCAGCGGCCCCGCGCCAGTGCAGACAGCGGAGGCGGCGGAGGTGACCGCCGCGAGCAGCGCGGCGTGTGGAAGGCATGTGAGCCGCAGGGTCAGCCGCCTGCTGGCGCACCGCGGCTCGTCGTCCGTGAGCGAGTGAGTGAGGATAAGCATCGTTCTCTCGTGCGTTGCCCCCAGTGTGAGTAGGTACGCGAGGCACGCTCTGCAGCTTGGGGGCTCCTGTGTCCCGTCGCAGTCGAGTTCCCGTTGAGCGCTGGCCCAAGGCGGCCCCGCTCGGAGGCCGAGAGGCGGCCCAAGGTGGCCCTCTCGGGGGGGTGGCCCTGCTGGGCCCCCGCGGGTGGCGGCCCTTGGCGGCCCCTCTCGCGCTGGCGTGTCTTTGGCTTTTGTGGCCCACCACTTTGCCTCCAAGGCCCCGTCTTTAACTTTAACTTTAACACACAGGAGAACAGCAAAGCACGCAGGAGCACGGCTGAACACGCAGGAGCACGGCAGAGCACAGAAGAGCATGCGGAGCACGGCAGAACAATCAATCGCACGGCATAACACACAGGAGCACGGCAGAACACGCAGGAGCACGGCAGAACCCAAAGAACATCCGAGAGCACGGCAGACCACACAGAAGCATGGCAGAACCCAACGAGCATTCGCGAGCACGGCAGAACACACAGGAGCACGGCAGAACACGCAGGAGCACGGACGAGCACAGGAGAGCATGAGGAGCACGGCAGAACATAGGATACACAGGAGCTTGGCAGAACACGCAGGAGTTCGGCAGAACACGCAGGAACACGGCAGAACCCCGCAATATATGCAGAATCCATGCGAGCACGGCAGAACACATAGGAATGCGGCAGAACACATAGGAACACGAGGAACACGCATAATACACAGGAGCACGGCAACAACATTGAGGAACACGGCATAACACGCAGGAGCATGGCAGAACATGCGGAAGTACACGCAGGAGCACGGCAGAACACACAAGAGCATTGCAGAACTCGCAGGAGCACGAGGAGCACGGCAGAACACGCAGAACACGCAGGAGCTCGGCAAAGCATGCCGGACCGTGGCAGAACACACAGGAGCACGGCAGAACCCCGCAGGTGCTCAGGAGCACGGCGCAGCGCAGCACAATACGACCCTTGGCACAGTGCCCTCACTATCGATATCGTCAGCATGACCATTGCCCATCGCCCAATTGATGTGCTTTGAAACGTTTCCATGCTTTACACTTCGACATCCCAATCTGGATTCGTTTGTCGATCTTTTTTGGGGAGTGCTGGAACCAGCGCCTCGCCTGAGACATCGTCGCAATCTGTCGACGGGAGCGTTGTAACTGAATCTGAGTGAGGAAGAGCGTGTGTGAGCATGAGTGGGTATGAGCGGTGAGCGAGTCTGAGCGATGAGAGAGTATGCGTGATGAGGAAGCCTGAGTGATGAGTGAGTCTGAGCGCGGAAGTATGAGTGAGTCTGAGTGGTGAGTGAGTTTGAGTGATGAGCGAGTCTGAGTGCGAGTGTGTATGAGTGCGTTTGATTTGTATGAGGAGGAAGGGGAGGTGTTTTCAGCGCGGTCAGAGTAATCACGAGAACCCCATCTTAGGATCCGTGTGACGATTGGTCCATGTCGCCTGGTATCACTACGCCTTGCCAGCATGGTGTGCCGTATGATTTCGCGGGTGATCCAGCCCTCAGCGAGTATGATTACAATAACGCATCTTGGTCTTCGATTTATGCTTGCAACCTGAACGCCGCAGGTTCTTCGTATTACATCCGCAGTCCTGCGTTTTACTTCGTACCCGGTGACTACAAACTGGATGTGTGGGCTGAGGACGACTTATTTGTTGCTTTGGTTCCACAGGTCGGCACTGTGTCAAATATATTCGGGCAGATGAGTGCGGACTGCAACAGCTGGACCCCCTCATCCAAACAGCAGAGAAATTTGAATTTCCATGTTGCCGATTGGGGCTTTTACAGAGTTGCCATGCTGCATGCCACGGATGGTGGCTCTATTCGGCTCACAGACTGGACGTCCGTGCCGGCGCCCGCCCGCGTGCATGCCAGCGTGTGTGCATGGCGCACCAATGTACGTTGCATTCGTGTCCGCACGCATGTCTGAGCGTGCTCTCTGCACAGGGATTGTCAGGAGGAGAAAAAACACACAGACACCATTCATCGTCGATTCCCCAGAAAATATTTGAAAATATGGGCAGTGGTGGGGAAGCCAGACACCAGGAACATACGGGAAAACATGCGGAATCCTTCTCTTTGTGTGTGCATTGCTTGGCGTGTCCCAGGGCCCCCTCAGTTTGGCGCCGCCACGACCTCATCGCTGCAAGTCGCGCTGCCCTGGGCGCGCGCACTCCCCCCCTTGCCGCCTCCCCGTCCTCGTCGGCGGCGGGGCTCGGCTCGTCCCGTGGGCGCGGGGTGGCCTCCCGGCCTCCCCCGCTGTCGCCGCGGCGGGATTGCGCTCGACGCTCTCGCCCTCCCCGGATGGCCGCCGGGGCGTGGCTTCGCGGAATGCCATCGCCTGCCCAGACCTCGCGCGCCACGAAAAAAGCGATACGACCCGTCAAAAAACGACTCGGGACGAAAAACCAGCCCCCGGGAAGTGGTTGGGAGGTCGGGGACTCGCGTTTCGAAAAAATCGAGACGTTGGATGTCTAGGTGCGCCAAAAAAGCGAGGTGCGCTTTTTTCCCGGAAAGGGCGCCGGCCCAGGATAGTGCTGTTCACCCCCGGCGTCGACTTGAAGCAGGCCGGCGGCACTATTCTGTGATTGGTAACGAGCTTTGAAGAGGGCTGGCGCAATTATTTCTGAGGGCGTCTCGAGCGAAACGCGTTTTTCCCCGGAAAGGGCATGGGCCCAGGGCTCTCTTTTCGTATTGTTACCCCCGGTTTCGGCTTGAAGGCGGCCGGCGGGTTCTTTCTGCGATCAATGACGAGGTTTCAAGAGGGCCGGCGGATTTAATTCTGAGGATGTCTCAAGCGAAACGCGGTAAACTGAGAGTTTTCGTTTGTTGCGGATGTCTCGAGCGAAACGCTCGTTTTGTTCAAATGTTGGAGGATGTCTCAAGCGAAACGATGGGTTTTGGACAGTTCCAGGAATCTGGACGCCCAAGGATGCCCCAGGGGGCTCTGGGAGTGCGGACGCAGCGACTTTACAAGGGATCGTGGCCCTGGGAGCGCGGCCGCAGCATAATTTACGAGGGATCGCGGCCCTGGGAGCGCGGACGCAGGCAATTCTCGAATGATTGTGACCCTGGGAGCGCAAAACCTGTGCAATTTACAAGGGATCTTGGCCCTGGGAGCGCCAATCCAGCGTAATGCATTGGGTGTCTTGGCACTGTGAGCGCGAAACCCGTGTAATTTACATAGGGTTGTGGCCCTGGAAGCGTGCACCCTTTGTAATTTGCATGGGATCGCGGACCTGGGAGCGCGAATCCAGTACAGTTTACGAAGGGGGTTTGGCTGTGGGAGCGCGGAACCCGTTCAATTTACTACAAGGGATCGTGGTCTTGGGAGCGTGCATCCAGCGTAAATTACGATGGATCGTGGCGGTGGGAGCGTCACCCAGTGTAATTTTCAATGGGTCTGGGCACTGTAAGCGCGAACACGTCGCAATTTGCGCGAGTCCAGCTTCATTTGCGTGGGGTCGCGGCTTTGGGCGCGCGGACGCAGCGTAATTTAGAAAGATTCGTGGTCTTGGGTCCAACTCCTGATTTTCAGGCAATGAGTGTGAGACAAAAACCGCCCTCCGAGTACATATCCCAATGCAGAGATGTATTGGTTTCTGCTCTTGGGAGGCGGGGCGGGGCCTTTTGGGCAACCTCCGCGCGGTGCTTCGCGACCCAGGGGCGCGGACAAAGCATAATTTACAAGGGGTCGTTGCCCCGGGAGCGCGGCCGCATCGTAGTTTCCGAAGGACTTTGGGCTTGTGAGCGCGAGCCCAGCTTAATTTTCAAGGGATCGGGGCCCTGTGAGCGTGAATCCCGTATGTTTTACAATGGATCTTGGCCCTGGGAGCGCGAACCCAGCGTAATTCACAAGGGATCTTGGCACTGGGAGCACTAAACCAACGTAATTTTCAAGTGATCGTTGCCTTTGGGAGCATGCATCCATCGTAATGTGCGAGAGATCTTGATTGGCCTTGGGAGCGAGAGTCCAGCGTAAGTTACGATGGGGGTTTGGCTGTGGTAGCGCGAACCTTGTATAATTTTTCAAGGGGTCGTGGCCCTGGGAGCTGGCACCGGGGGGGAATGCGAAGAACGTGAGGGCCACGTGTAAGGGCGTGCCCAAAAGTAAAAGCACTAGGCTGGGGGCGGACATGAGGGTTCGGCGAACTCTTGCAGGCCGCCACCCAGTCCCCAATGCGCCTCTCTGATATGAGTTGTGCTTATCTCCGCGCTTCGCGCGTCTGCCTCACTGAAGTGAGAAGCCTTTCCCCGTCTGAGGTGAGAGTCACCCTGACAGGGCCGTTGTCTCTGCTGCGTGGTTGGTTCAGCCGCGCAGGCAATGGGATAGAAAAAGAGCGCGCATCGGTGTTGATATGCGAGGGATCGCGGCCGCGTGAGCGCGAACACGTTGTAAGTTGCGATGGTCGTGGCCTTGAGAGCGCAAGCCCACCTTAATTCATGAGGGATCGCGACCTTGGGCCCGCAGGCGCAACGCAATTTACGATGATTCGCGGCTTCGGGTCCAGCGCCCGAGTTCCAGGAAATGGCGGGGGATCCGAAGATCGCTCTCCGAGTACCACGTACATATCCCAACACAGAAAGGCATCGGTTTCTGCTCTGGGGAGGCAGGGGGCTTCTTGGGCAGCCTCCACGCGGTGCTGCGCGACCCTGCTTGCGCGGACACAGCGGAAATGAAAAAAGGATCGTGGCCCCGAGAGCGCGGCCGCAACGTAATTTACGAGGGATCGTTGTCTTGGGAGCGCGGACGAAGTGTAACTTACGGGGGATCTTGGCCCTGGGAGCGCGAACCCAGCGTAATTCACAAGGGATCTTGGCA